CAAGCCCTCCGTTAAAAATATCACAGAATTACAGTTCCGCTTAGCAAATAAGCATTTTATAGCACCATATGTGTGGATCTACTATGCTGAGAACACGTCTCCGTCGCGTTCCCATCCGCCTTCATGGTGGCAAAGGTCTGCTGCACCCATCTCCCTACGTTGGCCAACCTACTATGCTGACATACTGAGGCTGGAGCGTCCTGGCCTCTTCGCATGATTGTCATCTTTTGTCTTGCCCTTCGCGAGAAGTTTGGAGCAGTATCGCATGCTTTTTCCATTTTACTTTGAATTCTCGGATTGGCAAGCAACGGGCTGATGCAATACCAACTTCTATCCTTGTAAATATAAGGGATACGCTCTTTTCCGCACCCTTAATTCTGAGTGACCGTGGATATTATATTAAGTTTTCTTTGAAGCTTATATCTCAACGTTCCTGGGTTTAAATTGTTAGGTTAACCAGTTTTTTGTTTTATGCATGCAATGGTAACATGTTCAACACTATCTTCAGTGTAATGCTGCAAACGCGTTTGTTAGCATTCAAATTGGACAGCGAATCGCTAAATAACGGCACTGTCTGATACTCATTCGCAGACAAGCTGTCAGACCTTGGGGTTACGGGAAATGCATTGTGGTGATAATTATTTCAAAGGGATAGTTTGTGAACGAATTTTTAATGATAAACACACAGCTGGGGGTCACTTATAGGAATAAATTTTAAACTTCGCCTACACTCAATTCCTGGGATTGCTCATGAGCATTTACGAGTTATCCTTCAGAATCTGGTGTCGGTCAACTCAACATGGGTTCTGCTGAAAACGAAGTAAGATTCCGAGATCTCGATAATTTATCCGGAGTCTTCAACCATTGAAAATACATTACTGCAAACTCTTTACGTAGTAGAAGCGTAAACGTTAAATTTGAAGGTGCATTCAAGTCCTATTAATATAATTACGGCACGCAATTACTGTTAGCCCCCATCTCTACTGTCCCTTCAGGCTCCTGCTTAGGTCTGCAGTGCATTTACTGTTTGAATACGCGTTTTCTGTCATGTTTTGTATAGATTACTGGATCTCATGTTACTTCGGACTTACGTGTTTGTAGTTCCTTAATCCAGCTGCCACTCTAATTGCATTTATTCTGAAGGGCGCTTTATTTACGCCCCAAATGTTTACAATATATGTGCAGTTTTCTTCGTCATTGGGAGTTCACAATTTGACCATGTAGGCTTTGTCCTAAGTTTCTCTGCTGTGGTTTCATCGACTAGAAGTATCTTATGTAACCCTTCATAAAGTAGCTAGAGGACAAATATGTGGCTTTATTGGAAGCTGTTAGTGTCCGTTTCAAACTATACCTTTTTATTAACGTCTCCTAACGCTAACCTTGCATTCCTGCTGCTTTGATGTAAAGGTGTGACGCACACGCCACGGTAGCCCTCATTTTTAAAGTCATTCTCTCTATGCAAGTTTTCCAGCTTTATGTTTCTCTTACACAGAATCCAGGCTCGTGGAATGGCTACGCTAAAAGATGTCGCAATGCAGTTGAAGTCAATTAAAAATATACAGAAGATTACGGCCTCAATGAAGATGGTTGCCTCAGCCAAATATGCGAAAGCCGATCGTGAACTGCGGAAAGCTATACCCTACGGCACTGGAGCTGCCGGTATTGTTTCTATGTCTTTAATGTCTAACATTTTTTTTAGCTTTTTACGAAAAGGCTGGACTGATAAAAAAAGAGGATCAAGCGCCAGCACAAGGCCACCTTATCATTGCTATCACTTCCGATCGAGGTTTATGTGGCGCTGCCAATAACGTTATCGGCAAGGTAAGTTATACTTGTTATCTATCCATCACCTCAGGCAATCCGAGAACTCATTGCTAATGAACCCGTAAAAGACAGCACCAAACTGGTATTGATCGGTGACAAAGTGCGCTTAATGCTTGCCCGACAACACTCCTCTCGTTATTTGCTGAGCTTCGCTGATGTGGGAAAGAAGCCCCCTACTTTTGAGGATGCTTCCACAATTGCACAGGCCCTGATCAACTGTGATTTCGAGTTTGACAAAGCCTCCCTGTTCTACAACAAGTTCAAATCTGTCGTTGCCTACACGACCACCGTTCAGCCGATCTTCAGTCTTGAGCAGCTTCAACAGTCCTCATCTCTCGCTGTATATGATTCTGTTGATGATGAGGTACTGAAGAGCTACAATGAATTCC